TATATATATATATATATAAATATAAATGTAGTGGTTTAGTGTGTAGTGGGCAAACTACAATGTTGACCAGAAGATGGCACTAAATTAAAACACAGATGATCATTTAGGTTACTATAAATCACTGAGAAAAAACATTAAAATCTAAATGTTTTATCATAGTCAATGATATGATAAACAATGAAATATAATAGTTCAAATAAAAGTAGAATAGTTAAAATGAAAGTAAAAAATAAATTTATGCTAAACTTAAACTAAGTTGGAACCTATTTTTAGCCTTTAACCAAATTTAAGTAAAAATTGGAATAATTTGTGACGATACATTATGGTGGAAAGAAGGAGAAAATTTATGAAAAATCCTAAAAACTGTCTGTCTAACAATCATAAAAATGAAGCTAACGAAAGTGGTTATTAGTAATAAAAAAAAAAAAGTAGAATCCTGACCTGAGTGTTTCTAGTTTACAGTGAAGACTTTCTAACCCAGAAGACAACACTTTCACTCCTGATTTTGCCAGATCATTGTTACTCAAGTCCAGCTCAATTAGACTACAGAACTGGGAACTGAGAATGGAGGATATAATTTCACAGCTTCTCTGTGATAGGTCACAGCCACTCAGTCTGGAAAGACAACAAAGCACCAAAAAATAAAAGATAATTCTTGTACATGCAAAGTCTTTACTGGCCTACTCTGAATAAATAAAGTGCTAAAAATGAAATGCTTAACTCTTTCCAGTAAATGTATATATGAGTTTGTTAGTCTCATCAAGTTGTCTAATAACCAGACTTTATAGATCTTAATAATAAAAAACATGAATATACATCTGTAAAACATCAAACATTAAATTCAAAGTCTGGAAAGTTTTCTTTTTAAATATCTACTAATTGCCTTCTCACATCAAATTGCAAAATACATTATCTGACCTGATAGTTTTCAGTGTAATGTGTGGATGCTTCAGTCCAGCAGATATAGAGTTTCCTGATTGATCTGTGAGCCATTTCCTGTCTGTGTCAGAAGACCTTGTAGGAGGGTCTGATTGGACTGCAGTGAAAGACCCAGGAGGAAGCGAAGAAACAAGTCCAGTAAACCATTTGGACTCTGTAAGGCCTTTTTGACAGCACTCTCATAGAATTGAGACCCTGTATGTTGTCTTGTTTCAAAGTTCCTGGAGGTGTTTTGTTGTTCTTCCAGCAGATTGACTCCAGTGTTGATGAAGGTCAGATGGACATGAAGAGCAGCCAGAAACTCCTGAACACTCAGATGGATATATATATATATGAGCTCAGTGTTGTGGAAATCCAGAGGAAGTCGGCACTCATCCAGACCATCAAAGATAAACAAAACCTGGAAGTCCTCAAAGTTGCAGATTCTTACTTCTCTGATTTCACTAAAGAAGAGATTAACAAGGTCCACCAAACTAAACCTTTTCTCTTTAAGGACATTCAGCTCTCTGAAAGCAAATGGAAATATGAACTGAAAGTTCTGGTTAGCTTTTTTTTCAGCCCAGTCTAGCGTGAACTTCTGTGTTAAGACTGTTTTCCCAATCCCAGCCACTCCCTTTGTCAGGACTGTTCTGATTGGTTTATCTCTTCCAGGTGGGACTTTAAAGATGTCTTCTTGTCTAATTGTTGTTTCTTTTTTGTGTAGTTTCCTGGATGCTGTTTCAATCTGTCTGATCTCATGTTTGGCATTCACATTTCCAGTCCCTCCCTCTGTGATGTAGAGCTCAGTGTAGATCTGATTCAGAAGGGTTGGATTTCCCGTTTTAGCGATCCCCTCAAACACACACCCAAATTTCTTCTTTAGGTGAGATTTAAGCTCATATTGATAACGTCGAGCAAAGATTTCTGAAAACATAAAATAAATAACCTAAATACATGAATTATTATATAGTCAACATCTCATTCCTCTAAAGAGTGAACATATGTTTGTCTAGCTCTTGAGATATTTGTTGCATTTATCCAGCAGCTGCAATCTTGAGAAAAACCCTCTTACTGTTTTGCAGACTATCAGCAAGTTCCTCTTGCTTAATTTTCCTCAGGAAGTGCAGTGTAATCTTCACAAAAGCCTCTCTGCTGTTTTCCCTCTGCTCTTTAACCTCAGCCTCCAGCATCTCTTCATCCTTGCTCTGACTTTCTAAGTATTCTGGAAAATCTGCATGTAAAACCTCCTGTAGTTCCTTCAGTTGTTTCCTCACAAAAGAGATGATGTTGTCCTCTACGAGCTGGAACAAAATGCCACACGAATGATACAATAAATTGAAATAATTGAGCCAAACATCAGATCCATGTTGTACACACTAACAATCCACTGGTCTGCAAACTGCAGCATGGAGATGTCTGTGAACAAAATATATGTAAAACTGGTTATACATGTACAGACCATAAATATTGACTCCAAGTGTGTTTGACACTGATGTGCAGATTGCCCACTGGGTACCTCTGAGCTCTCCTGGTCCAAGCTATGGAGGAATCAAAATAAACCTATCACATAGGTAACAAAAATTCTAGGAGTGGCCAAATCAATAATCTGATTTTTTTTTTTTAAAGAGAATGAATTCAATCACCACTTAAGCATTATCAAAAGAAAACAACAACACTGAATCTAACAAAGTCAAGAACACTCTTAAAGAGGTAGGAGTATAATTGGCACTCCCAAGCCCAATCTTTGCCAAATCAAACATGTGCTCATCAAGATTGTGATTTCTATACCGGACTGGTCAGGACCTGGGTTAACAAACAACTCTGCTGATTAACAGGGTGACAGTAGAAACTGCTGGTATTGGCTAACGGCAAAAAAGGGGGAGAAGGGAAAGGCATATTCAGATGCAGTGAGAGAGAAGGAAAGTAACAATATGGGCTTTAAATGGTGGGCCACAATTGGTAAACAAAGCAAATTGGTTGAGCGAAAGAAGGGACATAGAAATGTTGTTGTTTGTGGAAGGACAGCAAGGCCAGGGGCGTTGGAGGTGGATTCAAACTGTTGTTCAAAGGTGTAGATATGAAACATAATGAAGTAGGAGGAAGGAAAAGTATGTGAATAGTGCTGTGTAGGTCAAAAGAATGTCAGACAGGACCTAAGGAGCTTGGAAAGAAAAAGGTCACGAGTTTAACACCAGTAATCAACGGGTGATGTTGAGTGTTTTTAGTGGGCATGCCCCACAGGTTGTTCCGAAATGTCATTCGGAAGAGAACGGCAAATTATGAAGTAAGCTAGGTGAAATGCAGCAAAAGAAAACTTAACAAAATTTATTTGCTTTCTATATCTTAACAAAGTCAACATGCTTCTGCTTACTTTACAGAATTAGCCTGTCCATCTTTAAAATCAGTAGGCTGTTTCCTTGAATTATTGCTCTTAAAGGAGACATAGCTGGGTTCATCTTTATATTCATGTCCAGATGCGTCTGGTCTTTGATGAATCCTGACAGAAGAAAAGTTATTAAATTCCGCAAATCTTTACTTGCACATAAAACCTTAAAATGTGTATTTGAAGTTCAAATGAGTTAATACCAATAACAACTTACATTTTACCAAAGGAACTTTTTTGTCTGAAATTAATCACAGCTTCCTTTGAATCACTGCTTTTTAATGACACACAGCTGGGTTCAGGTCCAGGTTGGTTCCTGTGAATAATGATGGAGAGTGATGTGAGTGCTGAGCTGTGGCACGGAGAAGAGTCGTGGACAGTTAGAGATGGTCATCTCACCTCTGAGCTTTGGTCTGGCTCTCATGTTCCCCACACAGAGTGGTTTTAGATGGAGGGACTCCCTCCTCTCTGTCCTCACACTGATCCATGCTGCTGAATTCACATCAGCTCATACACACTTTCTACCTTCACCTGCAGAGGAAACACAAATCATTCATGTGCACATCAACTGATATCCTCCTTTCCATCATGTGTGCTGTCCAATTTCAGCTGCTTCTTTCCTGCTTCATCTCAGTGTCAGCTGAATGCAGTCAGACAGCAGTGTGAGGCAGAGGAAGCTGCCATCAGCTGCTCTACTTCTACTATCAGTCCACTAGATGGAGCCATGAAGCACACACTGAAATACACTGAGTCACTGTAACTGGAAGCTTCAGTTCATTAATAATCATTTAGTTTAACACATCTAAGCAGGATTTTAAAACAGTTTGGATGATCCATAATTCAGAGAGGATCAGTAGTATTTAAGGTAAAGTGAAGAACTGGATATTACTGTTTGAATATGTGATGATTATAATTATTGTGACTATAAGAAAACAATGATTAGAATAAAATAGGCTCAAGTTTGTTTAGATGATAGGGTGCAGCTGTAGATCACAAGAATAGGACAGGATTTGTGAATGTGTGTGTTTTAGGTTGGTTTAGCTATAAGCCTGGGTGTGTGTAATTGTAGAGAGAGAGGAATTTATTGACAGTGGGGGTCTGCCTGTTATATAAGGAAATAGGAAGCCACAGTTGGAGGGTGCTAGAAATGTGTGGAATAGCTAGGAAAGAGAGAAGTAGTTCGTTACCCTTCAGCCTGAGGTGCAGAGGGTACGGCATACCCCCACACATCCTGTTTTATAGGGGCCTGAGCATTGGTGTCACACACAGACACGCACACTCACACACACACATAGTGCTATGTATATTCATATATCATCATTTAGGAAAGTTGTTTTGAATATTGTAGATGACCATTAGAAAATAAACACCAAGTCTAAATGTAAGGACCTGCTGGACTGTCCCTCAGATCTGCTTGTAGGTTGCAAGATCTCCCTCTGCGCAGAGGTAGATCAAAGCATTAGGGTGTTTGTAACTTCAGAGTGATTTTTTTTAGCTGGGTGATAAAAGGACCAGCAGTATAGAGTGAAGATTACAACATTATCTACCCAATGTACAAGTTTTAGTTTAAAATTTTATTAATCATGGTAAACTAAGGTTCACACGTGTTTCTCTAAATTGTGTTTTTATATTAAGTAACAATTATTTTATCTTTTGCCTGAAGATATTGGATAGGAAGTCATACATTTCGTTCTTACACATTAGACCAATGACATCAGTATTTGCAGAAATATATGGAGGTGACTGACAAGTTTCCATGTTACCATGGCAACGTGTTTCACTTCCTTTGGTTGCATTTGTATCTGTCAGAAAAAAAGAGAAGAGAGAAGACAGGAAACTGCTGCCAGCAGCATCTTTGCAACCGTGGTTTGCATTTTTACCATGTGACGTCACATGTCTAGGATGAGTTTTAGTAAAACAGGCTGACACAGGAGAAATCAGTGTCAGCTTTGTGCATTCATCCCAGTCTTTGCTGTTTCTTCTGTGATATATGCAAGCTTACATACATACATATATACATTATATTATTAAGATTAAATATGTCTAATATTTTTGCTTCAATGTAATAAAAAATTTAATAACTTCTTTTTGACCTATGGAACAAAAGTCTTTACTGCCAGATGTAGCAGGTGTAAATCCTCAGTAACAACCCACCAGGCTGGGCAATGAGTACACAGTGACAGTCAGAAGACTAGAACCTTTAATGGTAATACATACAAATTATTATCAGTTATTATCATTATTATCAAATTATTATTATTAAGCTTTCAAATGTTGGAGCAGGATCAAATAAAGTCCATTATAAATGTGTACTACTCAAAGAAAGAATTAAAGCTTTCTGTTAATAGAGCAGGAGCGGGAATGGTTTTACAGGTGGAGGGCACTAACATTTTTCCCTCTTCATCTTTTCTGTCTGTCTTGTCATTAGTTTTGCTTTGGCTAAGGTCATTGTCCCTACTGGCACCAAGAGGTGATACCAGAATGTTTGCTGTAAAGTCTCGAGAGCATCAAGGAGATTCCAGGAGACAGTCACTCTGGTAGAGCTGGACGGGGCCATAAAAGGTCCTGAGCCATCAGCAGTATCTGTTCTTTTGTGCAAGGAGGAACAGGATGAGCACTGTCAGAGTCTTACAAAACATCCTCCAAGAGTCCACTGGTGTAAATGACCGAACAATTAGAAACAGACTTCACGAAGGTGAAGATCTTGTGGTGAAGGTCGAGATCCTCTACTGGGCCCTGTACTCACTGCCCAGCACCACAGCACCAGCCTGATTGTCATTTGCTGTGGAGTACTAGAATTAGCAGGTCCACCACTGGCACCCTGTGTTTTTTACAGATGAGAGCAGGTTCATCCTGAGCATGTGTGACAGCTGTGAAAGGCTCTAAAAAAGCAGTGGAGAATGTCATGCTGCCTGTAACATGTCAGCATGTCCGGTTTAGTGTTGAGTCAGTGATGGTCTGAGGACACAAATTGATGGAGGGATACACAGACTTCTACAGGCTGGGCAACTACACCCTGACTCCCATTAGGTATCAGGATGAAATCCCCAGACCCATGTCCTACCTGACAGTGGTGGAGAGGGTCCTGGGTTCCTCCTGATGAAAAATGTGGCGAGAGTATGCAGGCAGTTCCTGGAGGATGAAGGAACTGACAGCACTGACTGGCCCCCAAGCTTGCCTAATCTGAATCCAACAGAACAACTCTGGGACATTATGTTTGAGTCCATCTGATTCCACTACGTTTTTCCCTCAGACTGCTGAAAAGGTCAGTGATGCCCTTCTCCAGAACTGTGATAAGATCCCTCTGTACAGCCTCCACCCTCTTGTCAGGAACACACCCAGACATTATCAGGGTGGCATACAAGCACATGACGTCCATACAGACAACTGAATACCATTTTGGGTTGGTGCCATTAAATTTCATCAAAATGGACTCACCTCTCAGAAAATTTTCACTTTGGTTTTCTGAGTGTCTTTGAATTCATTAGGTTTATTATTTTCATTCCCATCAAACGACATGGCCTCTTTTCATTCCAACCACATTACCCATTCAATATCAGTACAAATATCCACTGTGTCCTTTTTCCCCACTGACATCTGATGTCAGTTGGGAAGTGTTCATTTTTTGAGCAGTTACATGTTCACTCTGTTCTAGGAAGAAATCAGCAGAAATACATAAATAAAATGTCATCTTTTGCAGAGCTATACATGATTTTATCATTTCTCCAATAAACAGAAATTTTGAGCTCTTAATAATTAGGAATAAAAACCCTTAAAGGTAGGTGTGGTGGAAGACACCAAAATGAAAGCATTGCTCTCATCTTAACAAGTGTTCTCAGACAAATGTAGTAAAAGTAAAAATACTGTTCATTTGGAACAGCTCCTGTCTATAGTTTAGTCATTGAATTATAGAAGGTGTACTTTGAGTTGAAGTAACTGTAGCAGAAAAAAAGAAGTATTCAAAGTTACTCGAAGAGAGCAGTGAAGAAAAAATATTGAGTTAACTTTCAGCACTTTCGGGTCCAGGATAAGATCAAATTTGTAAAGCCAGTTTCAAAATAAAAGACAAAAATCCTCACGGTAAAAATATTCAAATAGGAATTCAAATATAGTTAATAAGTAGGTAAGTTCCTTGGCTCACATACAAAGAAGCGCACACAGATAAAATTGTGGCTGACACATTTACCTGCTGGCCTCCTTCATTCACTCGGAGTCTGTCACTGTGAGCTATGAGCGGTAGAGTTGTGCTGGAACTAAACTGCACACAGCTGATGTCATCCAGGAAAACATTACAGACTGCCTCACTCACCTTCACACGGAGCTTCATATGGAAACGATCAACTGATACGAAATACAGGAAAGTGAAATGAAACTTTAATGAGGAAGGAAACACTCAGAGATGCGTTTAAGGCCAATCAGAATCGACAAAATCAACATCTGATCACTTTATAGTTTTAATCTTTTTGGGGAGAGAAATGTTTTTGATGCATATATCAATGTTTGTCTTACGGTGTAATTTTTTGTCACTTAAACGTCAAACACACAGGCCTATTTTTTTTTTAACTTGAAGGATTAATTTCTTCAGTGCTTAAAACATTTATTTTTTGAAGTCTGACAGTTTACTGTTGTTTTGTCTGAGCTGCATCCTTGATTAAGTTCTGAACTGAAGCAGGTTTTTGGGGAGCAGCGAAGCTTCACAGGGAGCGAAATAAATGCAGGACGTCCTACATATTTAATGAAAGCCAGTCATTTATATCAGAATGTAGTTCAAAGTTTTACCAGCAGAGAGTGACAACTCACCAATTTAGAGTCAAACTCGTTCACAGTTGATATTAGTTTTACTAGAGCTTCAGTGAACGTTCATCGTATTTTAAACAGATAATTGAGAGAGATGATGATGATGATGAAACAGTAACGCGCCATTTGTGGTGTTGCAGAGCTGTGGGACTGTACTTGTGGTCATTATGGGATGATTCCTCTGGTTTGAGCAAAAAGATTTTAACGCTGGAAATCCATCAGCTCACTTTAACAGACAGTGGCTCGATTTACTAACAGTCAGCACCAGAGAAACAAACATGTTCAGGCATTAAAAAACTACGGTTGGGATTTTCAAGTGGTGTAGTGTCATTTTTGTGACTGAGAGGCATGGTCACAGCAAGTCTTTTTATGGCAGACCTATAATGTATTTCACATTTTACATTAATAATAATATTTGTGGCATGCAGTAAATTTAACACTGAAAAACCATGTGTGATTTTAGTTGTGGGATTTGTGATGGTTTGAGTGTTTATCTGGATTCACGGGGAAAGGTCAGATAAATATAAATGGGATGGGTGTATGACTCAAAGATGTGAGTGTAGTGCTAAAACTTTGTCTCTGTCCTGCAACTCTTCACAAAAGGGGTTCTTTTCTCAGCAGTGCACACAGAGTGATTTTCATATAGTTTATCCCCCACCCCCCACCCCCCCTCCAATCAGAGCTATGCAGACCATATTGAAATGCAACTGTTAATATGACTGTGGCAGATTTTAAGAAGAACCTGTAGCCTCACACAGCCTACAGAAAAAAAGAGCAAAACCCTTGTTTACCTACATTACACAGCATCAGTATGTTCATTAACATACAGAGTTTCAAACATGAAGACCACATGTTCTGGTAAACTGTTTCAAAACAATCAACAAAAACACTTTTGCTGTAGCCTATAGTTTTAAATCTCTTTATATTCCATTACAGATGCTACTGTTACTTACCCCAAACATTAGGCAATGTTATACTACTACTATTATCTACTACTGCTACTATTACTACTGTAAAATAAAAGGCAGTATAATAAATAAACAAACAAGATGGGAGACAAAATAAAACTATATGTATTAACAGTGTATAAAGAAATTTCATAAAGACAAAATAACGACGAAATAGTCTTTAGCCCAGAATTGTGAAATTATTTTCTTACAGCATTAAAACTAATTAAATTAAAATAAATACAAAATGAAGGTAAACACAACAAACATAAACAGAGCAGTGTACAGCACCTGGTTTGAAAGTCGACCTTTTCCAAGATTTTAAAGTCTAAAAGACCCTTATTATTATTATAAGGTCTGTACATTATACATATATAATATAGGCAGCTGTTGTTGTGATTTGGCACTATATAAATAAAAGTGAAATGAAAAGTTCAGTGACACTCATCTCACCCTGGGTTGTTGTTCAAACTTGGTTCTGTCAGTTTTCATTCCAAAATCATATTTCACAATCTTCATTAGTTTTAAGGTTAAACAGTATTCATGGAACCAGTGAGATTTCTGTCCATGCTTCTGGTCTACAGTGTGCACAGAAAGGCTGATGAGTTCAACTTCACCCCATAACCAAACCCAGGATAAAGAGTTTCAGTGAAAGTGGTGTTGAAGGTGTGGAGGTGGATCAGAGTGTCAGAGGAGACTCTGTAGAAGGACAGAGTGCCAGCAGGATGATCCACATACACTGCTACTCTGTGAGAAACATCAGATAATGACGTTACTGTAATGGGAGTCCCGCTGTTGTTGTGCCAGGCGCTATACCCTCCATCAGTGCAGGTCAGACACCAGGACTGCTCATTGCCTCCAAATTTTGAGGCATCACTGTCTCCATTCCTTCCGATCCCTCTGTAGCTTACTGCAATATAAACCTTTCCAACCCATTCGACCTCCCAGTAACAGCGACCAGTCACACCATTTTCACACAGCACCTGAGGCCAGTAATCAAATCTCTCTGGGTGGTCAGGATACGGGTGCTCCTTTCTCAGGTCTGTCACTTTTTTGTTGCTTTCGGATAATTTGAGGAATTTGTGAGCTGTGTTTGGGTCCAGCGTGAATTCACAGAAATCTACCAAAAAGAGCATAAAAAGCTTTGGTTAATATTGTCTAAAGTTTCCTGTTTTTCATGTATATCTATATTTAAACTGCATTAAGTTGATTTTTGGCTAAGTCTATTTTTTTTTTAGTAAGTGATGTTTCCATCTGGGGTAAAACTACCTCCTCCAGTGTGTTGTAGCCTGCCACTGGGAACGTTTGAGGACATGTCGGTGGACTCATATTTGATATGACATGAGAAAATACTTAAGGGAAACAAGCTCAATATATGCAGTACCGAAAACTGCAAATGGTTTGAAAAGAATCAAGACTTTCAAGATCAAAACTCTAAATCAAAAAGGTTTGTGATCCATCCCCTCCATGTATGAATTAAAAGAACGGGACTTAACATTCAGCCCTGATGTGGTTGATGAAGCACAAATCATACAATATATAAAATGCTTGTTTTAATTTTGCATTAAAGCAGATGGGCGATCGTGGCTCAAGAGTTGGGAGTTCGCCTTGTGATCGGAAGGTTGCCGGTTTGAGCCCCGGCTCAGAGAGTCTCGGTCGTTGTGTCCTTGGGCAAAACACTTCACCCGTTGCCTACTGGTGGTGGTCAGAGGGCCCGGTGGCGCCAGTCTCCGGCAGCCTCGTCTGATTGGGACTAGTAAAGCGCTATACAAATACAGGCCATTTACCATTATACAGTAACATTTACTATGCAAGAATGCACAAAATGCTATATCATGATGAATAAGAGAAAGTAATTCAAAAGAAAAACTATGAATCATTGAAAGTGGGGGAGAGAGCTCAACAAGGGAAGTATAAACATAGTACATTAGAAAAAACAAAAAAAAAGCACTTACACTTCCTCAGACTTGATTTTAACCACTTGATTCCAACTGGGTCAGCTCTGCAAGATATGGAAGGAGAAATTATTATCTTCCTTTGTTACGTCGCAAATACTTCTAAACACTAAGATGCAAATAAAGTTAAATAAAGCAAAACACCAAATATAGAAAGATTGTTGTAATATTTGTGAAGTATCCCTTTGGTAAACACAACTAAGAGCAAATAGTCTGCAAAAGAAATCTTTGCATATCACAGAACTACTGAAAATCCTAATCCTAGTTAAGTTTGCATGTAGATGCGGATGAGGACTTGTTCATGTTTTTAATCAGGGTGATTGCTGACCTGAGATTTTCTATTCTCCAGTGTGGATCATTCAACTCAGCAGCCAAAAGTTTCACTCCTGTGTCTCCAGGGTGATTGTAGGACAGGTCGACCTCTCTCAGATGGGAGGAGGGGTTGGAGTTCAGAGCTGAGGCCAGAGCAATACACCCTTCATGCATGATCATGCAGCCTGTCAACCTGCAAACGCAAAACTACCATTAACTAGGATATATAAGATTTTATGAGATAAGACATATTATACTTCTTTTATCCTGGGTGTTGGAAAAGGGTGTCACAGGAGCCAATGCATTAAACAAAATCTATTAAAAAAGGCCATAAATGAAGTAGAATAACACAATTAAATAAAAGCAATTTAAAATAGCCCAGTAAGGTAAAAACTTAGAGTGAAAAGAACAAGCTGCAAAGTGAAATAAAATTAAATTTAAATAATAATAAAATGAAACAACACTGCAATCTGTGAATCTTGGAGAAAGAGTTCCATTGCCTGTGCAGCAACTGTTGCAGATTGAGGTTATTCTATATTATATTACATATTATCCACACCCATTTGGATTACCTCTGAATCTGCTGATGGACAAACCCAAACAGTGTATTCAAACTGAAAAGAGCATTTCCCATCACTAGCAGACTTTTAGATGCTCCAGAATCACTGTGGACAAATACTGGGTAACCTAGTCACCTTTGCAAGTCTACTGGGCAAGACACTAAACCCCAAATTGCCTTCTCTGATCAAACAATCGTCACCCAGCTGTACAATAAAGATAAATACACACACACACACACACACACTTTTTTGTTTCTTTTTCTTTTTCTTGTTTTTTTTTTAAAATGTCATCATGCATATGACTAAACCAAATAGATTTTCTTAAATTGAGATTTTGGAAAACAAATATGAGGTGCAATGACAATAAAAAAAAAGTAAATACATAAATGTTCATTTTTAAAGCAACTCAGTAAAACAGAAGATATTGAACTGACCGAAGAGTTTCCAGGGCGCAATGTGGACTTTCCAGACCTCTGGACAGTGCCTTCACTCCTTCGTCCTGCAGGTCATTGTTACTTAAGTCCAGCTCTCTGAGTCTACAGGATGGAGAGCTGAGAATTGTGGACAGAGCGTCACAACTTTGCTCTGTAAGGTTACAGCCACTCAGTCTGGAAAAACATGTGAGAATAAATAAACACATATTTAAAAGAAAAGGGGGAAAAAATCTGGTTTTAACAACTATCACATGAACCAAAATACCCAAACCAATATCTGTACCCACTTACAGAGCTTTCTTAGAGGCCTTGACCACTGGTAGCAGCCTCAGAAGTGCAACCTCAGAAGCAGAGTATTTCTTCAGGTCAAACACATCCAGATCTTCTTCTGATGACAGTAAGATGAAGACCAGAGCTGACCACTGAGCAGGAGATAGTTTATCTGTGGAGAGACTTCCTGATCTCAGGGACTTTTGGATCTCTTCCACTAGAGAACGATCATTCAGTTCATTCAGACAGTGGAACAGGTTGATGCTTTTCTCTGGACAAGGGATTTCCTCGATCTTCATCTTGATGTACTGGACAGTTTCCTCTTTGGTCTGTGAGCCACTTCCTGGTTGTGTCAGCAGACCTCGAAGGAGTATCTGATTGCTCTGCAGTGACAGACCGAAAAGGAATCGAAGAAACAAGTCCAGGTGCCCATTTGGACTCTCTAAAGCCTTATCCACACCACACTGGTAAAAAACTTTTTCTCTTTGGAAAGTTGATTGTTGTTCTTCCATCAGATTGATACCAGACTTAATAAAGGTCAGATGGACATGAAGAGCAGCCAGAAACTCCTGAACACTCAGATGGATGAAGCAGAACACCTTGTCCTGGTACAGTCCTCTCTCCTCTCTAAAGATCTGTGTGAACACTCCTGAGTACACTGAGGCTTCTTTAATATCGATGCCACACTCTGTCAGGTCTGATTCATAGAACATCAGATTTCCTTTCTGCAGCTCATTAAAAGCCAGTTTTCCTAGAGACTCAATCATCTTCCTGCTCTCTGGACTCCAGTGTTTATCTGGTTCAGATTTACTATATTGATTATACTTAATGTTGCTCAGTTTTGTTTGAACCACCAGGAAGTGGATGTACATCTCAGTCAAGTTCTTGGGCAGCTCTCCTCTCTCTCTGGTTTTTAGCACATCCTCCAGAACTGTAGCAGTGATCCAGCAGAAGACTGGGATGTGGCACATGATGTGAATACTTCGTGATGTCTTCATATGTGAGAGAACTTTATCAGCTAGCTTGTCATCTGGGAACCTCTTCTTGAAGTACTGTTCCTTCTGAAGGTCAGTGAACCCTCTGACCTCTGTCAGAATGTTAACACAGTCAGAAGGAATCTGATTGGCTGCTGCAGGTCGTGTGGTTATCCAGAGGTGAACAGAAGGAAGCAGTTTCCCTCTTATAAGGTTTGTCAGCAGCACTTCCACTGAGGTGGACTTTCTGGGGTCAGTTAGGATGTCTGCATTGTGAAAGTCCAGAGGAAGTCGGCACTCATCCAGACCATCAAAGATGAACACAACCTGGAAGTCTTCAAAGCTGCAGATTCCTGCTTCTTTGGTTTCAGTAAAGAAGTGATGAACAAGTTCCACCAAGCTGAACTTTTTCTCTTTCAGCACATTCAGCTCTCTGAAAGTGAATGGAAATATGAACTGGATGTCCTGGTTGGCTTTGCCTTCAGCCCAGTCCAGAATGAACTTCTGTGTTAACACTGTTTTCCCAATGCCAGCCACTCCTTTTGTCAGCACTATTTTTGGTTCCTCTTTTCCAGGCAAGCCTTTAAAAATATCTTCTTGTCTAATTGTTGTTTCTGGTCTGTCTGGTTTTCTGGAATTTTTTTCAATCTGTCTGACCTCATGTTCATCATTGACCTCTGCAGTCCCTCCCTCTGTGATGTAGAGCTCTGTGTAGATCTGATTCAGAAGGGTTGGGTTTCCTGCTTTAGCGATCCCCTCAAACACACACTGGAACTTCTTTTTCAGAGTAGATTTGAGATTCTGTTGGCACATGGAAGGAGATTCTGAAAGAACAAAGAACACCCTGTACTTAAAGAGAACTTACATCATAATACTGACACGCAAAATCTTTTACTCTTGGCTGACGCAGAATAATTGTCATTTTGAGTCTTGTTGAAGTGCAAATAAAATCAGCCTTTCATTACAAAAAAAACAACAAAAACTTGGCATAAATGAAGCATGTGACTTCATTTAAGTACATTGGCACCATTTTTTTTTTTTTTACAAATGGTGCCAATGTACCATTTGTAAAAACAAAAAACAAAAACGTAATTCTACTTAAAAGAAGTCTGTTGGTGTTATTAGCTTGCTTGGATGGTGAGGTACATTTGAAAATCTAATCTATTTAGGCTAAAGCCAGCCAAAAGCGAAGCTTGATGCTGGGAGGAGGGAGCCCAAAGCCAGAGACGGTCAGAAACAGAAAGCAGACAAAGCACAGGTCCATAGTAACTGATCAAATATGTACAGCATTTGGTGGAAATCTAGCAAAGGTAGCATAAACTAGTTATAAACTATTTATGCTGAACAAGTCTCTGTTTAAGCCTTTAGAGAAATATCCTTACTGCACTGCAAACAGTCAGCGAGCCTCTCCTTCTTCATTCTTCTCAGGAAGTGCAGTGTGATCTTCAGAAATGCTTCTCTACTTCTCTTCCTCTCCTCTTCATCCTCACCCTCCAACAACTCATCAACCTCTCTTTGACTCTCTAAGCATTGTGGGTAATCTGGATTCAGAACCTTCTGTATCTTTTTCAGCTCACTCTTCACAAATGCGATGATGTTGTCCTCCAGCAGCTAGAACACAATACTGTGTGAATATCCAATCAAACTGAAATCATCAAGCCAATCAGATTCATGTTGTAAACACTAACAATGTGCTGGTCTACAAGTGCAGCATAAAAATGACTGAACCATATAGATGCAAGAATAGCTGTTGTGCATGTACAGACCATAAATATGGAGTCCAGGTGTGTTTGATGATCCTGGGCAGACCGGCCTTTAGGAGCTCCTGAGGTCTGCTGGTCCACGCTGTGAAGAAATCATGAACAATTAGAGACAGGCACAATGTAAGGATCCCTGAAGTCATAATTATGAACTGAACATGAAATAAACATGTAGCAAACTTTGACTTCACTTAAGCAAATGTGCAGTGGGGCTTTATAAATTTAGACTCTAAAGTCCATGTTTAAAAGGAACAATTATTAGTTGGGTTTTTACAAGTGTTTGCACCCAAACAACTTACAATTGTTACATTTATGCAGACCAGCATGTTCCAAAAATGAAATGTACAATTTCACGTTTAATTTAAACTTATGTGAAATAACTAAAGACCTTACTACATTTAATGTGAAAGTATAATCCCTTGTTACTTTCATAAAAAAGTTTATTAAAATTGCATTGTTAAAAAAGAAAAATACATGAAAAAATGAATGGTGATAAAAACTTATTTAATTTTTAGTAGTTTAGGAAGAATCTTGATGCATGTACAGTCACTCCTGGTAAGTAAATCCCAAAAAGTTGAGTCTGTTCGTCTGGACGTAGCACTTTCAGTGAGAGAGACATTTTTATCACTCATCCAATGACTGAAGAAGTCACTCGGATGAGTAATGAAACTTTTCTGCTGCTGAAAGCGCTACGTCCAGATGAAGAGAATCAACCTTATGGGAGTTTAGCAAGTAATTTCAGCCAGTCCTTAAAACGCCTTTTTACTTTCTCACACTTAAATAATTTTTTATCAATTCTCAATTACAAACTTACATTATCTTATTAAAAAACCTTGAATATGTAAGCACTTATTTACAATATTTATACACTGAATTCATACATTTAAATGAATGTAGACTGCTAAGAGAGATTGGAATAATAATATTGTTTAGTAACTGTTAACAGTTCACTATAATGCATAAAAATAATAATAATAAATTTCATTTAAAAGCTCCTCTCAAGACACACAAGGACACTTAACAACAGACTAAAATACATAGTAGAACAAAATGAAGAACAATAAAAAAAAAAAGATAAAATAAACAATATGTTTACAGTGAATATGCAGACTTGAACAGATAGATTTTGAGTTGAGATTCAAACTGAGGGAGAGAACCAGTGTTTCTTAAATCCGGGGGTAGAGAGTTCCACAGCCTGGGTTCTACATTTCGTTGTACTATTGTACTAAGTATGACTGTGCAATGACAATAAAGACTTATCTTATCTTGCATAGTGTCCATCTGTGACGTTTAATGTTTTAAAGCATGTATAAGAGAGAAGATGGAGTGACCCCGATGTAATACACTGTTAACCTTTGTGTCCCAGCTCTCTCATTGGTTAATATAGTTTTTAATCTGGCTACTTTCACTTTTACTTACTAGTGTGACTGGATTTAGAAAAAAATACCACAACTTACAACAACTTGGGTAAAATACAACAATTTACTCTCTATTTATTGGTATTGTATGCATTGTGGGTCTAAAGGTAAAGAACACTAAGTCTCTTAGCTGCCAGAAAATTTGATAACAAAATTATTATTTCTTTATTATACCAACTAATAAAAATGAACATTACACCATGGGCCGAGGCTTTTGGTTCCTGTTTTTCTTGTCTTTAACTATTATTCTAGCTGAAACACTGCTTCCCGATCTTTGTCTCAACTAAGTGTTAGTGTTTTCTGTGTTTCCCCACCATAGTCATTATGTTTAGAGTTAAGAGTCAAATAAGACAGAAAAAATTACATCATAATTTATTTTCCTGTTGGAAATGTAAATGATTAAATTTAACGCTTGTAGTTAATTTATTATAGTTTTATAGTTTTTTATTATAGTTTTTTTAATTTAATTTTTTGTTTATAATTAAGTATAGTTTCAGTTAGTTTCCACACTAGTTTTTGTTTCAGTTAAGTTTTTATTCTTGTAAATGTTTAGTTGTATTTGAGGTCTTATTGATTTCAGTGTTTCAGTCTTTTTAATCAGTCTTGTAAGGAGGACACACATCAGAGGGAAAATTACCAAAAATCAGTACAGGTGTTAAAAAAAA